GTTTATTCCCTACATTCATTATTGAAGGAAATGATACATTTCAGTTAGAGCCTAATGAAAACGAAAAAAAAATTTTTGAGCCAAGTTCATAGACCCCCTGAACTCTGTCTACAGGCCTGGATACCAGGTTGAGACTCCATTTTAAGGCTATGCTTGTTGGGCCCTGGACAGAACCCAGTTATGATCCATGATGGCATTTTCTCATGAGGCTTAGACTCAGGTGCTCCTGGACTGTGAATGTCCTTCATCTGAGTCTGAGCAAGTAACCCCATCCCATCAGCCCCAGTACTGCAGATGCCTGTGGGGATTGTGGTTTATCCCACCAAGAAGTACTTGGAAGGGAGGAGGCTGAGACAAACGAGGCCATGGGAGAAAATGAAGCCCAGGACCTAAAGACAGAAAGGGAAAGGAAAGAAGAGTGTAATCAGAGTCTTTGGAGTTAGTTGAGGGTTCAGATGAAGGAATACAAGGGACTGGTGCTTCTCTCAGGTGACACAGGGAATTCTGGCATATCTGGGGAGGTGATAAGAACAGTAACAATAACAGCTAGTGTCCATTGTTTATTACTGGCTGGATGCTGTACTGGTTACTTTTCATGTATTAACTCATTCTATTCTCACCACATCCCTATCTTACGCAACCTTCCACTGCAACAGGTAGGTGCTGTTTTTCTCATGTGTGAAATGGAAAGCTGATGCACAGAGACGAAACTGGACTAAAGTCTTGCAGTCAGAAAGTGGTGGTGCTGGGATTCAAACCCCGGCATTCTTGCTCCGGAGCCATCACCTGACTTCTGTTCATGATGCTGTACTTCTCCTCTGGCTGCCTCACTGGTAGTTGGCCAGGCTCCTAACTCAGTGTAATTTATAATGCACATTCTACTTGTAATGACTGACTGCTGTTTCAGGAGATTATGGTGATGATACTAAGGTAGACTTGTAAGTTGTAGGTCATTTGAGGGCTTAAATTCTTAGCATTTATTTAATCTGTGTCTTTTTCAATTGTAGAACAGTTCCATGTTGAACTATTGACTATTGACTCCCTACCATGATTGGAAATTTCTTGACAGTGAAGCTCAGTTTTGTTTTGTTTCTATTTTTAAAAAATTCCGAGCAGGGCCTAGGACAGCATGTGTCACAGAGCAGGTGTTTAGGAATGATTGTCTGGCTCGTTACTTGAGACAAACACTCTCACGCTCTGTTGGGATAAAGAATCCGACAGTCCTGGCGCTTGTTTTGCTGCTGTGCATGCAGGAGAGGCACGGGCCTGTGATCGTCTTCTGGGCTGGCGAAGCCATCTGACTTCGTAGGAATATAGGGGTAGCAATTACAACCTTACTCCCCGGCAACAAATTATCAGGATGACTGTTAAGAATGACAGGCCTGCTCTTTGAAGTTACAGTTTACTTTCACAGGACATAATATCTGGGACGCAGTTATCTTTGTATAAATAACATGCCCAAAGGCAGTGCCTGGTTTAATAACAAAATAAAACTCTTTTCCCATAAGTCTTCACACTGAATAAGTGAGTAAAACAGATACTTTTGAGGTTCCCACTTTATTATGCAGACACAGAAGCACTTTTCTGCAGCACAGAGAGAGAACATTTTTTCCTTGTCCTGAGAGGAGGCCCAAAGGCTAGAGCAGGATGTGACTCTTCTGAGGCAGTGCACCAGAACCTGAGGGATGGGCAGTCTGCTAGGAATTGTCCATCGCCAAGTCTAGGAGGGCCCCCACTAATCCCACCCACCAGGTTTGCTACCAGAGCTGTTTAATAGTCCAGGGAGTGTACAGTGATATCTGTGAGAACCAGAGCCCCCATCTTCTTGGGGAACCACTCACAGGGGCCTCACAGGCATTCTGGCGCTTCCCCACCTTGGCAGGCACTTTACTTGGCTTGTCCAGATGGGTTTTGGAAGTTATCATTCCTCCAAATACCACGAAGCCCTCTGCGTCTGAAATCTGTTTCACACAGACGGAGACTGCCACTTGTGAGAGCTGATAAGGAGCTTAACTGAATGTGGTTTGCCTCATTGGACTGTTGGGTGAAGACCCCGTGAGCATGTTTGCATGCTGAGTGGAGGGCTTAAATGTCTACATGAAGCATTTGCAGGCACCCTGGAATAAGCAGTTCTTTTTTTTTTTCAGACAGAGTCTCGCTTTGTTGCCCAGGCTGGCGCGCGGTGGCGCGATCTCGGCTCACTGCAAGCTCTGCCTCCCCAGTTCACGCCATTCTCCTGCCTCAGCCTCCTGAGCAACTGGGAGCACAGGCGCCCGCCCCCACGCCCAGCTAATTTTTTGTATTTTTAGTAGAGGGGTGTTAGCCAGGATGGTCTCGATCTCCTGGCCTCGTGATGCACCCGCCTCGGCCTCCCAAAGTGTTGGGATTACAGGCATGAGCCACTGCACCTGGCCAATAAGCAGTTCTTATAAGCATAAGCATTGCTTCCGACCACTATTAAGTCTGGGCAGCAGCATGTTTGTGCCAAGCCTCATTTTATCTCCTCTGGCGCACATCCAGATATTTCCTAGCAAACACACAGGTAACAAAAGGTCATGGATTACAGACTTGCCTAGTCTCGATACTTAGAGATGGATTTCCTGGTTGGTGGCAGCCGGAAGGGGGAAAGTTCACCTGCCAGCTGGGGTCAGTATCACTGGGCAATGGCTCATCACTGCTCTTCTGCCCTGATGTTTAGGACCCCTTCTGTTCTCAACTATTTTTGTCTTTTAAACCTTCAGATATTCTTAAATGAGATAGCAGCAGCAGCCATGGCAATGGCCTGCTTCTTGCTACATCCTAGTAGAGTTCATCAAAGTGTATCAGAATCATACTTGGAGAGGAGGGTTGCTTGTTAAAATAAAGATTCCTAGGCCCTACCTTCAACTTATTGAAGCCAAAACTCAGGAATCTGCATTTTAACAAACCCAAGCAGTTCTTTAGTATATTCTGGTGGCTGAAATGAACTCAAAATCTTATTTTAGATCAGAAATTTTATCTAGTCCTTCCCTAGGATGAATTAATTTTTAAGATGTGTTAACCCAGTTTAACAAAATAATTTTTCCTCTCTGTTCCCCTTTCTAGGTGAAGCAGACTGTGACGAATTTAGCAACACTTATGAAGTTTCTTAAAGTGGCTCATACACACTTAAAGGGCTTAATGTTTCTCTGGAAAGCATCTCAGAATGTTAGCCTGTTTTCTGTCACATGCTGGTTTGTTTGCTTGCTTGTTTACGAATAGAGTTGACCTGTTACTGGATTTCTTGGAAGATGTGGTTGCTACTTTTTTCATATTTTGAAGCCATTTTCATAGAGAAATATCCTTCACTATAATCAAATAAGTTTTGTCCCATCAATTCCAAAGATGTTTCCAGTGGTGCTCTTGAAGAGGAGTGAGTACCAGATTTAAATTGCCCATTGGCATTGAAGGTACTTGAGTATGTGTTCTTTATTTCTGGAAGCCACTGTGCTGGGTAGAGTGCGTCACTCACCACAGCTGCCTCCTGAGCTGTCTGAGCCTCGTGCAAAAGATTGGCCCCCATTATGGTGCGCCTGAATAAATCTTGCCTAGATAGACAGACAATGATGAAACTCAAATGGAGCTTCCTACTCACGTTGATTTATGTCTCACAATCCTGGGTATTGTTAATCCAACATAGAGTGAAACTATTTCTGATAAAGAACTTTTTGAAAAACTTTTTACACTCTAAAGTGATACTCAGAACAAAAGAAAGTCATGAAACTCCTGAATTTAATTTCCCTACCTAAGTCGAGACTGTATTATCAAAACACATGTGCACACAGATTACTTTTTGGCCCCAAAACTGGATTACAAAAGAAAGAGAAGAGTATTTTGTGTGTTACTGGTATTCTTTTATAAGTAAAGTTTACCCAGCATGGACCAGCTTCAACCAGGGACAAAATCCCCTCCCAAACCACTCTCCACAGCTTTTTTAAAATACTGCTACTCTTAACAATTACCTAAACCTTCCTCAACTGCTCCAAATCTCTTAATAGCTTCTAGTGCTACTACGATCTAAGGTCACCAGAGGGAAGAGAACATGGCATTAAAAGAATCACATCTTCAGAAGAGAAGACACTAATATTATTACCCATATACATGATTTCAGAAGATGACATAAGATTCCTCTTAAAGAGGAAATGTCAGGAATCAAGCCACTGAATCCTTAAATGACAAAGAGAAAAGTTGAATATGAGTCATTGTGTCTGAAAACTACAAAGTGAACTTAACTGAGATCCAGCAAACAGGTTCTGTTTAAGAAAAATAATTTATACTAACTTCAGTAAAATGGACTTCTTATTCAAAGCATCAATAATTAAAAGAATTATTTTAATGAAGTGTGTTGGATTTGTTTTCTTAAACATAGACATGAATATTTATTACACTTTGTTTTATTGTCTACCATCAAAATAGCATGCTCCTAAATCAGTCACTGGCTGTTTCGAAACTTGAAGTGAATAATACCACTCTTTCCAATTGGCAAAAAGCTCGTATGTCCTAAAATTCTGGGCATGGCCAGAATCTAACCTTTGTCACAGGTTTTGCCTCAGAGATTTGGTTGCCAGTGTACCTTGTGATAGAATTAGGTTGAGGGCAGCTATTTGTTTTTCTCCCTTTACCCACTTACTGAGTTTTTTCTCCAGCATTTGGAACCACATAGATACATATCAACATTCAGGTAAGACCCAGTTACCATACAGGGTAAAGTCAACCAGTGTTTCACAGCAGGCGCTGCAGATTCTTTTATAATTGAATGTGACAGAATATGTCGCTGTTAATATTCCAGTCAGCCACTAGGGGGCACTGTGGACTACTTTTTGTGCAGGTGTGGGTTTCTTACACAGCTAAATGAAGCCCCTAGGAATGATTCCCTGGGCTGGGTTAGGAGCTGGAGTAAATGCAGCTGAGAAGGGGGCAAGAGGAGAAGCAGAGGCCTGATTTGCTGCTGCTGCTGCTGCTGCTGCTAGGTTTTCCTGGGCTTATCACTCCCTCCACACCATGTGTTTCTACATCGGGTTTTTCTGATCCTGTTGCACCCCACGTGCTGCAGAAGGAGAACAGATTCCTGGTCTCAAACAGCTAGGAGATGAGTGTCTTAGACTGGGGTGGGGAGGGGGAGTCAGCCTTGGTGCAGAGAGCAGGACAGGCCCAAATAGAGAAAGATAAAAGTGGAAAGAGGGAGTGGCTCAGGAGCCTGAAGCTACAGAGTCCAGACAGCTGCCTTTGGCAGATGCTGTCTTGGACCATCGATCTACACTCAGCTGGTCGAGGCCATTT